TTCGGAGGAAAGCATGGGACCAACGCGCACCATTTTACCCTCGGTGCTCCTGGGGTCTACGAGGACTTCTTTAGAGCCCTCTGCAGGTTCGAATGACCCAGTCGACTTCTTGGCGTCGGGCGCTTCTTTGGTGACCTCCTCCTTGAGGGCGGCGAGCTCTCCGGAGGCGATGATTGCTGCGGCGTGACCGCAGCACTCGACCTCGCACTCATAGGCGCATTGGAAGGAGGTGTCAATGGTGATGACCCCATGGGGGCCTGAATTTTAGCTTGAGGTATGTATAGTTGGTGACGACCATGAACTTAGCGTAGCATGGTCGTCCTAGGATGGCGTGGAAAGTTCGGGGAACCCAACCACTTCGAAGGTGAGGGTTTCAGTCCTATAATTGAACTGATCCCCAAAGGTAATGGGTAGATCAATTTGCCCAAGTGGCATGGCTTGCTTCCTAGGCACAATGCTGTGGAAAGGTGCTCGGGTTGGGCGGAGGCGTGTTCGGTCGACGCCCATCTCATCAAGCGTCTTGGCGTACATGATGTTGAGGCCGTTACCTCCATCCATCAGTACTTTGGTGAGCCATTTTGGGTCGACGATCGGGTCGACTACGAGCGGATATCCCCCTGGATGCGGGACGCTCTCTGGGTGGTCGGTCCGATCAAAGGTTATGGTAGACTCGAACCACCGGAGGAAGGCAGGTGTGGCCGGTTCGGCCGTATAGACCTCACGGCGTGTGACCTTCTGACGGCGTTTGGAGTCGTAGGCCGTTGATCCTCCGAAGATCATGAGGCACCCATCCGGTGTCGGAAAGGCGTTGTCCTTCTCCTCGGCATCATCCACGGTGGGGGCGCAGGGTCCTTTCTGTGCTCCTCTTTGTTGGAGCCTCTGGACAAGAACCGCCGCATAAGGCTGTAGTCCTTGAGTAGATGCTTAACCGGGAAGGCATGGTTTGGGCCTGGCCCCTCGAGTAATTTTTCGAAGTGGTTCGGAGTGCCCTTCGTGGGCTTCTGACCACCCTTGCGGTCAACGGCGGCCACGAGCGAGTCCACACGCTATTGCTTCTTGTTCTTCCTTTTGGCGGAACGATTGGAAGCGCCTTCGCTGGCACCCTCATCCCACCTTGCCTTGCCATCGAGACGATCGAAGATCGCTCCAACTGCTTCTTCTCCTAAGGCGTGGCTGGTGGTGATGTCCAGGAGTTCCTTGGTGGTTCGCGAGCCCTTACGTCCCAGCTTATGAACCAAAGACTCGTAGGTAGTCCCAGACAAGAAGGCTCCTTGGCGGGAAAGCAGTGTTGAGGATGTGACGACCAAAGGCCTGAGGGCCCGTAGGCCAGGGCTCGAGCTTCGGTCCTCGCTGCTGTCGTAGCGTCCACCACAGCGAGGGTGGTAGCCGCATTTAGCTCCCTCTCTTGAGTCGTCGTAGGCGCGTCTGCGGGCGTCAAGAGTGATGCGTGCGTCGCGATTATGGCCGAGACGCTGATGCACTAGGACCGCGGTGCGCTGCCTGTCACCTGGTGGTGTCTGGTGGACCGACATGTCCCTGCCGGGACGTCCAGAGGGTGTGCACACGCTGGTGTCGAGCTCGCGTCACCGAGACAATGAGCTCTCCGCCTGTTGCACCGCCGCACGCTCAAGCAGCGTGCGAATCTCACGGTGGGTCTGACGATCCTCTGGCGTTGTGGCCTCTAGAAGGCCATGGAGCAAGGCCATCGCAGCGGTGATGTTCTGGCTCGCCCGAGCGAAGTGAGGAAGGGTTTCATCATCGGCGATGATCCTTTGATTTACATCATGGGCCATGGCGCGTGCGCGCCCACCGTCTCCGTGGCACTCGATCTCCCAATCGAGCTCTTGTGTGTTCCTGCTCGAGCTGGAGCTGCTCCTCATCGAGCTCTCTATGTCACGGGATTTTAGCTGCTCCACCCTCATTCAAGGTGGGGTCGCTATTTCCCCTTGACATCATAGTCGAGGTTGTTCGCCGGGGTAGCCCCCTCCCTGGAGACTCTTTCGACATGTCCCTCGGGGGTACCCGTCATGAAGCATTCATGAGAGGGGTGATGGCTTCCTTGCTTGAGTCAGAGCCAGATGATGACCCCGGCTCCTCTGAGAGGAGGTTGTGGAGAGACTCCATGACATGTTCGATCACCCCCACGAACTCATCATTCGTGGGTGGTAGGACCATGCGTCGTGCCACAAGGTGGCTAACGATCGCCGCAGCGTTACGGAGATCGAACGGAAACGCTGTCGAGGCGTTTCATTGTGGTGTTCTAGAGTGAGGGATCCCCCTCTGGCAAACCGCGCCATGTCGTTGGCGTCGGAAAGGGTGAGGCGGTGCTGGCCCTCCCTAGACTACTAGGGTCCCAGGGAGACACCGAGCCAGCACTCAAGCTTCCCATAGTTGAGGCCGATGGAGGGGAGAGATTGGATGGTGGCGTGAGCCAATGCCAACTCTCCTCCCACCGTGGCGATGAAGTTTAGGTCACCGAAGCGCACGTGTGCACCCGGGACCCAGCTGATTCCGTGGCTAGCCATCCGTGGCCTGATGTTTAATGTCGGAACATGCAAAGGTCCCCTACCTGGCGCGCCAACTGTCGGTGTTCGAATAAACACCAACTAGTAAATTTATATTTAGTTGCGTGTTAGGCCCGGATGGTGTGCTAAAAGACACAAGGTTTATACTGGTTCGGGCAGAATGTCCCTACGTCTAGTCTGCTGCTGCTCGTGTTATTAGCACTGAAAAAGGTTCGTAGTAGGGGGCACAAACGGTCGAGAGAGGGACAGGTCTCAAGTCTCAGATGGAAAGGTCAAAAGGGCGCTGAGAGGTCGGTTGCTGCTCAGCTATGTGTTATGTGGTGCGTGGTGCGTGGTGTGTAGGATTGTTCCGTCGTCTTAGTGGGGTGCCCTGCCCTCCCTTTTATAGACCAAGGGGGAGCAGGGATTACAGATGGGAGAAAGAGGAAAATCCAAAGGTAGAGAAGATCCTTCGAAGGTTCCAGGTCTTCCTTTTCCCTTGAGCCTACCCTACTGACAAGGCAGACGGTGCCAGGGATAGCACGTTCGTTGATCCTGATATGTCCGTGCTCTGGCTTCGTTCAGCAAGTGGTCACGTCCCATCCTACTCCGACGGACGGTGCGGCGTGCTAGGGTGCCGAGCCGTGACCCTACGGGGAGCAGACGGGGAAGTGACCATACGTCCGTTACTGTAGATGATGTGAGTTCTCTCCTGGATTGTAGTGGTTGTCGTATGCTTATGTCAGGATCCACGTCCTAGGGCTGATGGTGGCGCCCACAACACTGTAAGATAAAAGTCGGCGTCTACAACACTATTTGGGTTCTGTCATGTCTGGAAGGGCTTAAACCGCCCGTCCCGACATATCCTGACGAGTACTTTCCCGCAGACGTGCAGGGTATGGTCCTCGGTACTGCGGTTGACTTGAGTGTCTTGTCTTGTCCTGTGCTCGTCATTATGAAGGAGCAGGGTGCAGACGTTAGGCGAGGCGGAGCCTGCCCCGGGACGTCGGGTGAGGCGGAGCCCAACCCTCGGTGGTCGGGCGAGGTGGTGCCTGTCCTTGGACGTCGGGCGAGGCGGAGCCAGCCCTCGGACGTCGGGCGGGGCGGAGCCTTCCCCAGACGTCGGGCGAGACGGAGCCCAACCCTCAGGGGTCGGGCGAGGCGGAGCCTACCCTCGGACGTTGGGCGAGGTGGAGCCAGCTCTCAGCCGTCGGGCGAGGCGGAGCCCGCCCTCGGACGTCGGGCGAGACGGAGTCTAGCCCTCGGGGGTTGGGCGAGGTGGAACCAATCTTCCGTCGTTCGGGCAAGAAGTGTAGTTGTGTTCTTGTCTGATCGGAAGCGTCAACGTCTGATGGTTATTAGCTCCTTCTTTTCGGATACCCCGGTATTCGGTCCCGACACAAATATTTAATATTTATTCCAAACTATAAGAGATGATAGAGGTGAAATAACCGTGCTCCAACTTAATTTTAAAAACCAGCATTGTATACATACTTCCTCCATCCTAAATAAATCAATTCCTAAAATCCGTGTCAGACAAACTATCTTAAATTTGACTAACTTTATAGGAAGGGTAACAACATATATGATATAAAATGAGCACATTATGAAAATATTTTCTATGGTATATCTGATGATACTGATTTGATATCATAATTTTTGACATGTTTTTCTAGAAATTCAATCAAAGTTTAAAAAATTTGACTTAAGATAACTCTAGGAATCTATTTATCATGGACAGGAAGTACATAACATTATTATTGTCTATCACCCACTTAAATACGACGATCACAAATTTCACAATATCTCCTCTCCTCGCGATTAAGAAAGAGCTATTTCTCCTCGCGATTAAGAGCGAGCCACCTACTACGTTCTAAATTTCTAGACTTGGTTTACTATACAATTAGTATATAATATGTGCGCACTAGGATTGCTAGGATAATGAGAAAGTTCGGCTGATCATTTCAGCTTATTCTCCCTCACAGAATACTATTCAATCATCCAAAACGATCCAAAATTCACTGTTGAGCAGATCAGCCGGGCGAGCTGCATATTTAGGTCGGAGTATACCACATACGACCCTGTATTAAGCGGAACGCAAATGCCATGAAAGCAAGCATCTCAACGCCCATGGATCTCTCGTATATAAATGATCATATAAAATGAGGCTTTCACCCGGCCTCTTATCGGGCTTGAAATTTTTTTTAAATGCAGTAACATTCTCAAATATGCTTGCTTACTTATTGCCTATCCGTTCAGTTTTTCTTTCAAATAAAAACCAATCAGATATACAAAAGTCTGCTTCACGGCCTGAACATGTTTCCTCACACGACACATTCGATATCATACAAGCACATGCCACAGAAATATTGATCTAAAAAGAAAAGGTAAATCGAAAAGAAAAACACAAAATCACGATACAAGAAAAAAATCACAGCTGCCTTCCTCTTCGTCCTGGTTACAGTAGAAAGCTACTGTCCAATGCAAAGCAATCCTCTAGTGCACGAACTTGAAATACAGGATCACGAGGACAGCCAAGACAAGGACTGCTATGATGAGACCGATGATCCACTTGTTTCTATCCATTTTCCTCATCATGCCTCCGATGATCCTCCTGCTCTTGCCAACATTGTTATCCACCTCATCCAACTGCAGTTCCAAATAAGGATTACACAACACGGGGTTAAATAGGAAACAGGAGATTTGAACAAAACAGACAGCAACTGCACGTTGGTAATTGGGGATACCAGTTATTGTATTTAACTGGTGTATGGCAGCATGGACTCTGGCATCAACTATTGCCCATATTTGTTTGAACTTAAACTATGGACTACGAGTTGGTAGTGAAGAACAAGCTATACTGTGTTTTTCTAATCCAAGTTGATGCATTAGATGATCTGATAACCATACAAACTTGGTGACGTCCGGTTCAATTAATAATAAGTTTATATTGATATCCATCTATCTATTATCTATGCAAGTCATCCCCACTCAGCAATTAATTACTCTAAAGAATCCATATTGATAGTGGGCTCAGTGTTTCAGGCGTGTGCCCCCGCAGTGGTATCACGTCTTTAGGCATGTGAAAATAGGTGCACTTAATGAACATGTGCAGTGCTCGTCAATTACATCAGTCACGAGTAACATAAAAATGGAAGGAGGGGGGGGGTGTACTCTATGGAATTAAAAGCAAGTCTATGCATGACAAGAAATGAAAAACATTGATGAGTTATTAAAACTCAGCCAATATAGACAATACGGATAAGTAGGAAAAAGAACTGTTGAAGAAAAGTAGGTCAGGGTCAACACTATATCCTTTAAATGTGTGCTGACATCGAAAGGCATAATAAACATAATTATCTACATACAAACTTGTATGCATAACATTTTTTACAGTAGACTATGGAAAGCTACATTTCATCTAATCTGAAACAGAATAAGGTAGAGAGAAACTTGCGAGTTGTGAGTGATTTCCTTTCAACAAATTGCATAGTACTGGAGGTTTAAGATAATTTAATTTAAAACAAAACCAAAACAATTAGTTCAAACCGGCAGAATTAGGAAAACAGATACTTACTACATCATGACCATGCAAGAGAGATTGGCGCTGTTGATTCAGGTCATGCAAGATGGAGACACCAAGATCTTCAGTCTCCAGCATAGTTTTATGGCTATCTCTGAGCCTATCAGTTGTTCGGTTCTGTCTCTCGGTTGCCCTGAGCAATCTTGACCTTTGATCAGCAGAAACCTGTGTGATCATCAAAAAACAACATTAGACTCTCATGGAGACCATCAACTTTTTATTTGCAGGTTGAAGGATAAACCCATGTAACTAACAAATAAACAAATCTAAGATTGATGATGAATCAGAAATATGTGGTGCAAAAGGACAAGGGCCTCATACTTCATCAGAATATGAATGTTGCCATATTGATATGGCTAGACCCTAGTCATATGGATTCTGGACAGCATATGCCATAGCATGCAGGACACATTACTATCACCTTGCAGGCATTATTGATAGCTTTGGCTTATCCATGCTACAGGGGTAGTCTTTAGAATTTTCTAGATTGGTATAGTGCTGCCTCAACAAAAATTGATTGATATTTTCGATGAACAAAATGGGAAAACATGTGCTTCGCCATTCAGAGTGTGTTTATGATGAAATGTGAATTCATTCACTATAAGTCCATGAAACAACCAAAGAACACATCCTGACATTAGCTACTCATGCAAGGCATTGCTTTTGTCCCAACTAGCTCCACATCTGTAATTTGGAAGGTTCAATGCTTCCACTCACTGCAGTACTGGAGGAGCCATAGACACTTGTACCTGATCACAGAGCTAAAATCCCAGAACTTAAGCCAAATTAACACCAACCAAACAGGTATGTTTATGTGTCATTTCTGACAAATAACCAATAGAAATGATGGTTCAGATATAGACATGCCTTGCACAACCTAGTTAACAAACCAAAAAGAGCATGATTCACTCCAGATGAGAATGATTCATGAATCCAGAAAAGGTAACATACCCCCAATGCATCTGCCATTCCTGACTCCAACAACTCCTCCCTCGCCCCCTGCTGTGCATTACCACTGGTGATCCTCTTCAGCGCTCCCTTGAGGTTATTAAGATCTGACTTGTACTCCCTGATCTTTGCTAGGAGCCCAGCTCTAATGCTTGGTTGGAGGTTCCTTGCTTCGAGATCCATCTTCCTTATCTGAAAACAAAAACAACATTACCAATATACAACACATGTCTTGCGCCACACAAGAAAACTTTCATTTGATCACCGCTTAGCCTGATCTTAAAAGAAGGAAACGTCCCCAGATTTACACAATTATGTAATCCATAGAATTGAAATTCTTCCGCGATCGATACAAAATACAGCTCTCAAGAAGGATCTTTCCTTGTTTCTTTTTTTCTCCCTACAGCTGAATATAATTCCAAAGCCAAATTCAGTGCGATTTCGTGAGGGTGGTGTATCCTTCGGCTACTTGGTAACAAGGACGAATCGGCTATGTTTATAATCTCTACACCTAAAAAGACTCTAAAGTAATCATCTACCAGTGATACCAAATCCCACCTACCCATATAACACCCGGTCCGCCAGGCATGTCGAACTCATGCAAAGTCTTGCGCTAGAAGTCTGAAGTCGTCCTGCGCTAGAAGTCTGATGAAGATACGAAGTTACCCGCGCCAAAAGTCCGACAACGATACGAACTTCTGATAACACGAAGTCTCTGTCTATATTTCTCGTAGCACGCCATGGAGAATTATGAGGCACATCAAACTCGTCAAACTCTACCGGCCTCCTCCAGGTCGTTGATCTGAGCGCTAGGAGTTCCCGTCGCTGCCGCTATTGGCCTCCTCCACGTGGACGATGTTGATCTGAGCGCTATGAGTTACCGACGCTGCTGCTACGAACATTAATCATCCGCCGCTACGAAGGTTTGCTAGCAAGTTCCATGATCCGTCTGACTGCAGTAAGATGCTGCAATATTCAAATGTTCAGGAAAAGTGTTGTGGAGCCAGTGCAATACTGCAATCGGAGGCCGGCAGGCTGGCTATGGCCTTGGTCCAGCCGGTGTATAAGGCAAGAGGCCATCCACAGCCAGTTAGGCAACGACTGGTCTATCTATGGTCCTTCAGAAAATTGCTTAGCCATCATCTTTTCCTGTTCTGAAAGTGTTTTGCCAACATGGACGGCTCTTTTAACCTACGCACCACATGATAGACAGAATACTTCTAAAAGCTAGGAATTCCTTGTTATGCTTTAGAGACTAGAACAATTTCATCCCAAAAAGTCTGAAATCTCAATTAGTAGTTGTAGAGATTTAACAATTTGATCCCTGAATGTTCAGGCCAAGGGGGAAAAATCTAAATCTTCAATTCTCGATTAATTGTAGAGATTTGTTGCAGCTTCTCAGTGCCTGTAGTTGTGAATTGAGTATACTTTTTAACAAAAGGGGTAATAATACTGAAAAGACTGTAATAACATCATCGTCTACCTGTTAATACCAAGTCTCACCTACCCGTATTCAGAATCAATCTAGTAAGATCTCGTCCTCATCCCTCGTATTCAGGCCAATGGAATTTTGGCACCTTCTTTATCTGAGCTAATGGGCCTTGATTAAAGCAAGGTGCAAGGAACTGTGTTTCATAACGGTAAAGGTTGGAGTTCTACGATTTCTCTGAAATGATCGTTTACCCGGTGCAACGCACGGGCATTACCCTAGTAAAACAAAACAAAAAAAGGAGAGGCGAGGTACCAGTGCATCAGCGCCATCGATGCCGGATTGGATCTCCGCCGCCTTCTGCTTCAACTTCTCTGCGCGCCCAAAAATCCAATGAATAGACGATTCGGAGGGATAGACTACCGAGATTGCTTCCAGGATACAAGAGCTTAGCGGGATTTGGTAAGGGTGGAGGATTACCTCCTTGTACGGCGGCGGCGGCGGTGCATTTGCGGGTGAGGGAGGCGGACGCCTCGCAGTACTGGCGCTCATAGCCCTCGAACACCTCGCTCATGGCGCCCAGAACTCGATCCTAGTCACCGTCTGGCTAAACCCTCGATTTTTTTCTCTGGAGCGATCGCGTCGAGAGGAGTCGAGGCGAAGGAAGAAATGGGGGAGCACACGAGTAGTCGATGGGTTTTTTTTAAAAAAAAACATGTAGTCGATGGTTTCTGGTGGGGTGGGGCTAGCCTCGCGTCTCTACCACGCACGAAAACCTTATCTAAAGAATTCATCAGTATACAACTACGTGTTTTATATAGTTTCAACACATAAATTTTTTAATATTATATAATTAAGATTCAATAGTATCCACTCTTCTTCTATCTCCAACCTCTGCCTTCTTCTACCTCAAACAATCACAAATCATAAGATCACAAGTCTGCTCTACTATATAACCATGCATTTTATGTAGTTCCAACACATGAATTTTTTAGCACCATAGAATTAAGATCCAACAGTCTCCACTCTTCTTCTACCTCCAACCTCCACTCTTCTTCTATCTCCAGACAATCACAAATCATAAGATCATAAATCACAAGAAATAATTTTTTTCTATAGAAGAACAATCACATATCGCAGAGGTGTTTATGTATTTGTTATGACATATGGACCTCAAACGTCATAGAAAAAAAAATTCATGTGTTTTTTTTTAAAACACATATGTATTCTATAGTATTTCTGTACATAAAATGTTTTAGCCAAACAAATAAGTTGGCTCTATATTCTCGCTGAGAGAGGTAATATAGTTGCTAGCCAACCTCTCGTGCAAGCGGTCCATTTGTTTGGGTTAATCGGAACCGGGATTGAGAGTTTGGAGACAAAAATTTTAGATTTTTTTTTTGCTTGTTTTACGTGTTGGAGTATTTTTTATGCTTTATGCGTGGGAATTTTGATGGGTAGGAGAATGGGAGTTGAGAGGACCAACTCCCACTTCGATGAGGATTATGTTTTTAATAAAAGATAAATAAATCTTCACCACCTATCACGACTTGTTATATAATTTCTCACTCAAAACCCTACACTAAATAGGAGATATGAATTTTCTCTCTTATTTTCTTTCATGACACAAACAAGAGATTGTGACTAAAAAACAAATTTCTACATTAACTCACTCTGTCAACTCGCACCACTAATTTACATGCCTCTTTCCATATAATTGCCAAACACACCAAAGGATTAATTTGAACTACACTATTGGGTCCGTTCGGCTGCACTAGGTTGTCGTGACTCGTTGCATTACCTATTATTGAGAGGAAAATAACGTGAAATGGTTGTCTAGCGGTGCTGTGACCATCAGCCGAACAGGTGGAATATAAATATCACGGATTGAAGATATACCATTACTATTTATATATTTGTAAATATGTCATTACAATTGACGTGTTCCACAAAGCATGCCATTTTGTACGTCTTAATGCCTTTAAACAATCGTGTTGTCGTATTGCCCAAAATACCCCTTTTGTTATTCATCTGTTTCTTCTTCTCCTTGATCCAAAGACATGAAGGTATTATCGTCGGCGGACATGGTGGCGGCTATCCCCATCCCCAATCACCGCGCCACACTTCCCATGGCAAGGTCGCCGCACGGGTGCAACCACCATCGTCACTCCTTCTCCGCCACTATCTTGCGACCTCAAGTCCTCGTCCCTACCATCACTCACCCGACGAAGGACCTAGGGAGTCGACCATGGCGAGTTGAGCTCACCTAATGCGGCCACATATCTAGGTGTGGGTGCGATCATGGAGCTAGTGTGTGGCACGGGCATAATGTGAGCTGCTGGCTGAGGTGTGGGTGCATGGGCCAGCTAGCTCATGGAGGTGCGGGCGTGGTGGATGACATGCAACCTTAGTGACCGGTGGAGACACGAGTGCCGCCGAGGCGCAGCAGATGCAACATGGGTTGTCCTGGTGGCAACTAATGCTAGTGGGAGGGTGAGGAAGAAGATATATTAGTGAGTGAGGGGAAGGGATGACACGTGGGCTCTACTTATAAGTGAGGTGGAGAGCAAGAGTAACATAGTCCATACAGAAAAAGATTGCATGTGTATATATGTCTGCAAATGGATTTAGGGACGAGTCAAACGTAGAAAATGGCACCACTCAAAGTGCACAGCAAATTATAATGGTATATTTCTAAATAGATAGATAATAACGGTAAATTTCCAAACCACGACACTATAATGGCACAGTTTAAATTAACCCTTTACACAAAACCGCATATGGATAATTTCAATTATTATTTGTATCCCTCACAGCTGCTTTGTAGGAAGGTTTTTTTTCTCTTTTTTCCCCTTCTTTTCTCGTACATGCTGGGTAGAAAAGATAATGGATCTGTACAGCAATCCTTGGACGATCGATCTGCAGCATAATAATTCTTCGAAAGACCTAGCTCCGTGCTCATGGTGTCTCTATGTGCCTTCAATCAAGATTCAAGAGAGCTTTTGAGAACCAACCGAGCATTATTGTACTAGCTCATATCAAACAATATTACTTGATGTTTGGCACGGATTAATTATTCTCCAATTAGTTACATTATGCTGTAAGAGACCTCAAGTAATAATAACCGGTGGGCCGAGAGGTAATGGTGAACTCAGTAGGAGTTTCACGTGAATTTCATTTGTATTAAATAGGTTGTCACATAGACATATTTGATGACATGGCAATGTATTTAAAAAGAGAGGAAATATGAGTTTCATCTATAAACTCTGGTGACACAATTACCAATTCTTTATGAATCATGGATTTAAATGCTTATGAAACTATAGAATAAAACTTTGCATTAAGAGTGATGTTTCATCTTAGTTTCATTTCACTCCTGTATATGTCTTCGAAACAATGCTATGAAACTGTTCACTGAGACTGCCTGATGCATGCTGATTGTGCTCTTGCGTGACCAGATGACTCTGTGTCAGTGCTGTCTCCACCAGAGACGGGTTGGGATTTGCATCTTCCTTGACTTTAGATTCCTGACGGCTGGCTCAACGGTGGCCTCGTCGCTGACCGGGTTATGGAGGCTGTATTTGGGTGGAGAGGGGCGGGGATGCTCATCGGCTACCATGTAACTATCAGATAATTTATTTACGAAAACTACTTCTATTTTAGAACTTGCGACAAACTTTTCCTAGAAAAAAAAAAGAAATTTACCGGGTTCCAGCTCCAATTACGCAGAGATGCACCCTACTCGTAAGCGCACGTGATGAGTGGTGAGCGCAAATGGCTGAACGGATACTAATGGCTGAACGGCGAGAACCAACCGTTCTACTATTCCACTCTGTCTCACGTACCCCTTAAAATGCAGGGCTTAAAATTCTAGAGTGTGTGTTATATGGAGTGTTGCATATGGTGTTCGGATACTAATAAAAAAATAAATTATGGAATCTGTCAGTAATCCACGAGATGAATTTATTAAGTCTGATTAATCCGTCATTAGCACATGTGTTACTGTAACATCACATTGTCGAATCATACACTAGTTAGGCTTAAAAGATTTGCCTCGTAAATTAATCGTAAACTATACAATTAATTATTTTTTAGTCTATGTTAAATATTCAACGGGACATAGAATAAACTTTAGTGTGAAGAAGGCCTGAGACTCGTAACGACACATTCCATCAGTACAAGAGTCGTAGACGTCTTGAAACAAAAGACTAGCCGAGAGGGGACAGACAATCCAAGGCAGAAATGATCGCACACGCCCGCAGAGCGCCACAAAAAAAAAACGCAGTTGCATGAATTTGGAAAAGCCAAGAAAAAAATCGTGATCAAAATAAAAAGGGTCCAGGCGCCGCCCTCGTGCGCGCGCGTCAAAAGCAAGGCCGGCTTACTGTCGTTTACTCGTGGTCCGTTCTCACCTGATTCCTTCCGCCTCGTCAGCGAACCGCGAACCAGACCCACCCGAGCCAACAGCAACAGCCCATGGCCGCCGCGGCGCCTCTTCTCCTCGCCCTCGCCGTCCTCGCCGCCGCGGCATGGTCGTCCCTAGCGGCGGGGGCGCCGGCGGCGGCGCTGCAGGACCCGGCGGAGCTCCTTCGCCGGGCCAAGGAGCCGGCGTTCGCGGACTGGATGGTCGGGGTGCGGCGGCGGATCCACGAGAACCCGGAGCTGGGATACGAGGAGTTCCAGACCAGCGAGCTCGTGCGCCGGGAGCTCGACGCACTGGGGATCCCCTACAGGCACCCCTTCGCCGTCACCGGCGTCGTGGCAACAGTCGGCACCGGCGGCCCACCCTTCGTCGCTCTGCGGGCGGACATGGACGCGCTGCCCTTGCAGGTCTGTAACTGTAACCGCCTTCCTTTTTTTTTCCTTCTCCGGTTACGCTGGCGCTTGGCTGCTCTTCCTCTGCTTCTTGATTTCGCTGTGGATTCTGGAAAATAAATTATTGCTGGCTTTTCCTAAGCATAGAGGCAAATGTCTCTGCTCTGGTTATCGAATCCGTTTCTGTTTCAACCAAGAGCTTGGATTATAAAAACGACCTGCACACTTCTAGTGGCCACAAAACTAAATTTGACTTAGTCAAGGGAAGAGGAACGCCAGGGATTCAAAGAAATTGTGGTCACCAGAAAGCTAAAATTTGCTCATTGATTTCTTTTTAGAATTCATTATCCATTGAAATTTGTTGCGGCGCAATAGAAATGAAGGACTAATGACCATCAAGGCCAGCACGTGCGACATGGAAATGATCAATTGAAGTATCGATCGAGTATGCATATTTATAGTTCACTCATGGCAGACATCCTGGTAACGGGGTAAGAAAAGGGAGGAACAGGTCTGCACCTACTCCTAGGTATAGTTCCCTAGCTGCCCTTCCTGATTAGGAACATACAGAAAAAAAGAACTTTGGCTTCATACTGAAATGAATCACATGGGCGGCCTATGTGTATCAGTAACAGTCATATGAGCCTTCGGTCATGTTCCAGGTGGTGATTGACAAGACAAATATGTAATTTGTGTGTCATGTGCGGACGCGTGTACTCCAGGCGCAGGCGCGCCCACGACGTACGCAGGGCGGCCGAA